TCATTAATATTTACTTAAAGCTTGCTTAAAATGTATCTCTAGGTTAGTTTTTCTTATTTCAAATGTACTCAGACATGTGAACTAGAAACTAGACCAAAATATTTGTTAGGATCTTGTTTTTTATGTGTGTTTTTTTTTTGCGGTGCTCAAATGTCTCCTGAGAAAATGGTTACATTTTTTGCTGTCAAAAACTCTTTCAGTGTTATTTTTCTTTTGTTTGCTTTGTTTTGGGGTTTTTGCATCAAATATACCATGTTGAATTCTGGTACAAAAGTTTAAGTTTGGTTTTTTGGACTCTAAGTAATTCCCATACAAGGTTTTGGGAGATTTTTGCCAGATCTGGATATTTTTTGAGAAGTAAACAAATTTGTCTTTCTTTAGTCCAGAAATATGCTGAATGCAGGAGATTGTTCCCTCAATCTTTTAGCAATCCTTCAGTGTTGCTGTCGGCGTCTTGGCAGAATCTGTGGCATGCTTTCAGTGTTTTATTCTCATCTGTTTTTAAAACAAACAAATATTCTGTTTTTCCATGTGTATACAATATGGAAAACAGTCAGAAAGTGGTGTTTGTTTTTAAATATAAGCATACCAAAGTCAAAACCAGGTTCTATTTAACTTAAATTTTGACTCAAACTCTTTAATAAGAACCTGAACTCTTGTATAATTTGAATTTATTGACTTCACTGGCTCGTAAAAAGAAAATACAGTACATCTGCTCTGTGTTCGTTGTTGATCATTATGATCGCTAGCAGTTTATTGTTTGCCGGAGTATTTTCTTGTCAGCTTCCTGAAGCCCTTTGATCCCATCGCCACAGCTCCAGAGGTTGCCAGGTATTGATCAGCTAATGGGCCTGAACGATTCTCTCTGCTGCCTTACCCAAGGAAAGCTGCTGGCTGTAAATCACATCCACTGGGGATGAGTCAATTCACAAGTGTTAGCATTTCCGCTTCTCTTTCCTAACTTTGTTCTTTTTTTGTGACCGACACAAAGCAGTTGCGTCTTCTAGTTTCTGTTCCCCAGTCGGACAAATCGTTTCCTGCAGAGTCCGCCACTGGGGGGATGTTAACAAATTGGCGAAACAGGAAGAGTAGACGTGTCTTGAATGTTGCACATCGCCGCTTGACATTGAAGTTTTACACCAACCAGGAGCATTAATGTTCGGGTGTTATGTGGGTTTACCCTTAGATTGGTTTGAGGCTTCATCTGCCTCGTTCTTTAGATTATGGATGGCTGACAGCTCCATCCGAAGTTGGTCTTGTCATTTTCATGATTAATGTTAACATCATATATTCACTGCAAAAATACAAAATATTACCAAGAAATGTTGGTCTAGTTTCTAGTGTAAATATCTTAGTACACTTGAAATAAGACAAACCAACTTTTCAACAAGAAATTTGAGGTATTAGAAGTCAATAATCCCTTAATATTAGTGAAAACCTTTTAGTTCCATTTGCAGATTCTTTCACAAAGAGAACTGTGTCGTTACCTAGCAACCCCAGCCAAGCCCAGACCGTTACCTAGCAACCACAGCCAAGCGCAGACCATTACCTAGCAACCCAGTTCTAGTTCCTTTGGCAGATTATTTCACTTATAACAAGACATTTTTCCCATGTTAAAGTGAAATAATCTGCCAATGGAACTGGAACTTTTTCATTTATCTAAAACAAGCTCCTAAATCTTGCTTAAAAACTGTTTATAAGGGTTTTTTATTATTTGGAGTGTGGTAAGACATTTGAACTGGGAACTAGACCAAAATGTTGGTTTGATCTGTTTTTTTTTGGCGTTAAATGTGTGTAACTACATGTTTTTGGTGTGTAAATCCTTTGTCCTTTTGTTATTGTTGCAATCTTTCCTTAAAATGTTCATAAAGTCATCATCTAATGACTGTTCTCATATTATTTCGATTTTATTCTTGTTTTATTTCAACTTCTTTCTCATATGACCTTATTCTTGGAATTATTCTCATTTTACTACAACTTAATTATTGCAGCTTTATTTTTGTAATTTTTATTTTCCCTATTATGGCCCTAGTGTTCCATCGTACAAAGTAAATGCATAGTTTTTCAAAGATTTTACAAATAAATGTCTGGAAAGTTTGGTTTAAATTTTATTCAGTCCAATACTTTCATGTTATGTTCAGTGGAGTTAGACTGGATCTGGGTTTCATTTAAGTGACAGAACCGCCTGAACGCATGTCCTCTGTGTTGGACTTTGGTGAAACTCTCTGTGTATTTTTAGGGAACTCCAGAGCGTCTGATCATGCACCTGGTGGAAGAGCCGTCGGTGGTAGACCCCACCTACATCGAGGACTTCCTGCTGACCTACAGGACCTTCCTGTCCAGTCCCATGGACGTTGGCAGGAAACTGCTGGACTGGTTCCAGGTGGACTGCTACCGGGACACGGTCAGTTGGGACTTTTTTTATTCAAAAATGTCTGTTTCGGGGCGATGGCTAACTAAAACTCTGTTTGGCTGAAGGCTAAAGAAAAGCAAAAGCTTCCTGTAAAGGGAGTCTGCATACAAATAATGGCTCAACTTGACCTCCGTTTGCTTATTCATACCAACACAGAGTTCAACCACCAGAGGTCAGGGGCCAAACGAAGTCATTTAAAGGGCCACAAATGGCTCCCGGGGCCACCCGTTGGGCATCCCTGGCCTAAAGTAAAATATCAGCGTTTCTTATATTGTCATGATTGTCGATGGCAGCTTCATGTGTGGAGGTGTTTACCTGCAGATTGATGCAGGAACAGCCAGCTCAGCTGTCTGTGAGCCAGCTACTGATTGGTTCATGCCTGATGCTTTAACCTGAGGTTAGTGTTGTTCTGTCAATACTCGTTACTTTGACATCCAGCCTGGAAATCAACAAACTGGATCCAGGAGGAGACGGTAGCAGAATGTGAGAACAGCAGGAAAAGACGTGCAAATTTAGCAGAAATGTTTGTTTTTTAGTGTTTTTTCTCTAATTATGAACTAAAAGACAGTTAGGATTAACTTAAAGGGGCGTTTTATGTGATGATCATCTAATAACTCAGCTGCTGTTTTTCCTTTGTTCCTGTATGAATTGGATCTATATCTGTTGATCTTTGCTCCTGGTTGCTTCTGGTCCTTCAAAGTCTGTTTTCCAAATGTGAAGTATGGAAAACAGAAAATAAATTTGGGATAAACTTTTGTAATTCCTGACTTTATTCCCTATTTATTCTTCCATCCTTCCTTCTTGATGTCCTTCTTTTCTTTCCTTTCCTTTATTGATTCCATCTTTCCATCTTCCTCCCTTGTTTCTTTTATAATATATTTTCTTCTTCTTCTCTTCCTTCTCTTACTTTTTCATTTCCTAGTTTAACATTTCTTCCTATTTTCTTTCTTTTCTTTCCTTTATGGTCTATCTCGTTTCCATTCGGTTCTGTTTACTCTGCGCTGGTGTCATATGTATGAATTCAGAGTGAATATTATGTTTTATATCTTAAATTGAAGTAAATTCCTGTTAAGTCTGGTCGTTTTACTGAAGAGCAGAAACTTTGCTGATATGCTGATCTTGTTGTAGAGCTTTGAAATCATCCAGTGTTTATCTGAAGCGACCAACGCGATGCTCTAGAGACGTAGAGACCTTTCATTCTGCTCTATAAATACCCTGCTGGAGCTCTTAACACGTTTTTTATCTGACTATACAAATAGCTTGAGGTTTTTAAATAAACCAACAGGGACACAGAGCATTAGAGAAACTCTTTAGGTTAAATGAAGCGTCTGTTTTCTCACTCAGGTGACGAGAATAGTGCTGCTTTGGGTCAACAACCACTTCAACGACTTTGAGGGCGACTCGGCCATGACGCTCTTCCTGGAGGAATTTGAGAAACATCTAGAAACATCAGTAAGAGCAAATAAGAATAATGGCCTAAAGTTCTCCTTCTCTTTTGCTTTTCAGATTATAATTCTGTTTCCTGTCTTTCTCTGTGGCAGAAAATGAAGGGTCATCTGAGGTTGCTGAACATTGCATGCGCAGCCAAGGCGAAGTGGAGGCAGATCACGCTGCAGAAGGCATCCAGGGAGTCGCAGCTGCATTTCAGCGTGCAAGGAGGCAGCGAGAGAGGATTCGGCGTCTTTGTGGAGTCGGTGGAAGAAGGAAGCAAAGCGGCAGAGACCGGACTCAAGCGGGGGGATCAGGTGAGGCGGCGCAATGACATAAACATTTCAATATGCAGCTTTTATTGTTAGAGGTTCAAATTTCTACAAGTTTTACATTTAACCAGCTCAGAGCAGAAGAGGATGTGGATGATTCTTTATCTGGATTATTCATAATTACAGCAGAAACTGTAACTGTTGGGGATGTCAGGACTTCTTTAGTCTTGACAAAGGAGCAGAGTCATAACTTTCTGAATGAGTTGCTTACTTTTGACTGACCTTTGACCTTGGAAACGCTGCTGACAGCATATCAGGAGCAAAGAGCAGATAGGGTCAGAGCGACTTCTGGTTTCCATAGTTGACCTATGACCCATTATGGAAGCAGATGGCACAGCACATTTTAAAGCAAAGAAAATATAATGAAAAGTTATAAAATGTGACGATGTTACAGTTAGATTATAAAATCAATTTTTAATCTGTTTTGTTGCAGATCATGGAGGTTAATGGTCAGAACTTTGAGAACATCGGCTTGTCCAAAGCAGTGGACATCCTGAGGAATAACACACACCTTTCCCTCACCGTGAAAACCAACATCTTTGGTAAGTAAAGCTGCATTTTTACTTTACCACAAGCTAAAATTGTACAAAATGTTTATTTTAAATATTATTCAAATGGCTCAGCTTAGTGGTTACCAACTGTGGTCTCTTATTTTACTCCACACCTCAGTTGTCTTTGCCGTAAAGTTTTATGTGGCCCAAAGGGAGACTTGAATAAAACCTTGAAAATGATTATAATATGCTTAAATAATGTTTTATCAATCAGGTGAAATCAGTTGTCAATGGAAGCGGATTAGGATTACTGAAAAAAAAAAAATCTGAATTTTTACTTTTATTTAAAAATTTTCCTGAATTATTCAGACTTTTATTTTCTAAGATCAGAAATCGGAATTCCAGGGGAAAAAATCAGGATTCAGAGAAAGAAAGTCAAAATTCTGGAAAAATAAAAAATCTGGGGGGAAATCAATTCTGAGAAACTGAATTGATTGAATTCTGTTTTTTTTGGTTTTTTTGTTTTTGTTTTTATTAAATCTGGGGGAAAATTCAGGATTCTGAGAAAAAATTCTGAATTTGAGAAAAACTGTGAAAATTCTGACTTTTCTCAGAATTTTGAACAGAAGATTAAAGTTTTTTTCAGTGGCAGTAATCTTCTATACTTTTCCATATTTGTATTCTGCCAAATTAAATCAATGTAAAACTATGTCCAGTATTAAGAAGTACTACTTATTCAAATTTTAACAATACATTTTACCTCAACCGGCCCTTTTAGGACATTTCATAATCTTGATGAGGCCCGAAATAAAAGTGAGTTTGACATCCCTGCTCTGGATGCATAAAGCTGAGAGTTTTCTGGTTGTAATGAAACAAAATAAAAAGATTAAGAAGTTCAAAAGCACTGCAACCAATATCTGCTCTTCGTTTTGCTCCGTCTCTCCAGTGTTCAAAGAGCTGCTGAGCAGGATCATGCACGAAAAGAAAAACGGTGGCCCTCACATTCCTAAGATCCAGGAGAAAAAAGGCAACCGCTTCTCCATCGCCGACTTCTCCGGAGACATCGAGTTCCCCACGGACAGCAAAAGCACCCGGAAGATGAAAGCGAACACCGTGTCGGGGGGACGCAACAAGATCAGGAAGATGCTGGAGAAAACGCGCTTCAGTATACTACCACCCAAACCATTCAGGTAACACTGGCTGGGAGTCAGTGGGGAATGGAAAAACATCTTTTCTCTAATCCAGATTAGAAGTATAAAGAAGCTGCAATTTAGTGCTAAAAAGCTATTTTCTCAAAAACTTAACGTGGTGAGATTTGTGTTATCATTGCTAAATTTTAAACTTTATCCTCTGATAACATGGTCAAAAATCAAAGTTTTTACTTTTTTTTTTTTACGTTTTTCTGTTGGTATAAGTAAAAAAAAAACAACACCACACAAATCAACAATTGAAAGATTTCACATCATTGCACAACAAAATGTTGGTTAGAGTTTCATTTCTTATGTTTCAAAATAGGGCTGCACAGTGGTGCAGCTGGTAGAGCTGCTGCCTCGCAGCAAGAAGGTTCTGGGTTCAATTCCCAGCCCAGTCTTTCTGCATGGAGTTTGCATGTTCTCCCTGTGCATGGTGGGTTTTCTCCCGGTACTCCAGTTTCCTCCCACAGTCCAAAAACAGCCCTGTGACAGACTGGCAACCTGTCCAGGGTGACCCCACCTCCCACCTCTCACCTGGAACGTTAGCTGGAGAGGCACCAGAAACCCTCCCAACCCCACTAAGGGACAAGGGTGTAAAGAAAATGGATGGATTATGTTTCAAAATAATTTCTAAGCAGGTGGGTTTTTAGTCTGGATTTAAAGGAACTCAGCGTTTAAATAACATTCTATTTAGGAGCAGTTGGTGTATGGAGCCCGTATTCGATTTTCCACCCGTAACGTGGCGATCCAGATTTGATTTCATTTCATCATTTCATTTTCTCTCCATGCCTCGTTTAACTGCAGGCTGCGGCAGCGCTGCAGAGACAGCAGATCCTGTTCTCACCCTGTTAATTACGCAGCTAACTCACTCAACACAACACACACACTCCTGTCTCCTCCTCACTGCTGATTGAATGCTCTGAAGTAAATCATTTGCATCAAACCTCGACGTTCTTTGTCTCACACCAAACATCGGATGACTGTTTGATCCAAGCTCAGCTTTCAAAGCTTCTCCACTGCCATCTATTTATCAGCTAAACTGGGATTTTCATCTCCTTTGTTCCAACTGAAGCCACATCAGGGGATTAGATGTCTGATTAAAGGGGCAGGATAAGATAATAGGAGTAAAGCAGGTTATATGGAGGCCAGTAAGGATTCACCAGTTCCTTTCATGAGGAGGAAACTTGATGGCGCTCATGTCTGGGTGTAAATCCAAACAGTACATTAAATAAAAGGAAATTAAAATGATGAGCCATTAAAAATAACATGTCTGCTTTCAGAAAAATACTTGAAGTTTAAATTAAATGCAAAATATTCCACTTTTTAAGGCTTTATGAGTTGTTAAAGTTTTATTTTTGTGGTGGAAGTTGACTCTATTAAGTACTTATTTTTTGCTCTTTAATTTCAGATTTATGTGAAAATGTTACCTCAAAGTTATTTCAGTTTAAGTTTGTGGAAAGATTTACATTCCAGAGTTAAATTTTTTAATAATTTCTCAAACCAAATTCAACAAACCACTTTAAAATTCTCAATTAAATGGAAAAACCCTCTATAATAATTAAAACCCTTCCAACTCCACAGCTTTATTTGTTTACTGCAATATTCTAATTTCTTTGAAATAAAATAAAATAATCAAATAAATAACATTAATAAATAAATAATAAGATTTAAAAAATCTGATTTCCAGTGTGAAAAAAATCTCATTCATGTGAAAAGTTGTTGATACATTTCCATATATTTTCATTACTGTCAGACTTGCAGCTCAGTTAATTCTGGGTTAAAATCTTCTCAGACTGATTTAAGGTTTGAACCCAACATCAGTTTATGAACTAATGTGACCATTAAGATGATAATTCATAATAATGATGAATTATTATTCATCATGCCTCTTAATTGACCTATTCTGATTGTGAAGTAATTTATTTAATGCTGTAATCATTTCAGAGAATAATAATAATTTGCTCTTCTGTTGATCTGATATTGAGTCGACACTCGGTGATAAAAAACCAGCCAAAGAAAACTGTAATGTTAATAGGTTTGTGACTTTATGACATTTTTCTGCATTTATTACAGCAAACATGTCGTTACTTCTCTGTCAGTTTGGTTAAAGTAATTTGTTGGGTGTGAGCATAACGGAGGAAGCTTTGACCCGTTGCTGCATCTCCTCTGCTCAGCTCCGTTTCTTGTTCTGCCAGAAATAATTTCCTGCGTTTTAAATGTTGTCTCTCTCCTATCTGTCTGTCTCTGCTGCTTCAGGGGCCTGTTTGGGTAAGAAGAGCTCTTGTTGTGTAATTCCCCATCCTCCAAACGTGTTTCAGTGTCAATGTGCTCAACAAGCTGCCAAACTAAGACACAAACTCATCAGCACACCTTCATCTGCACTGCAAACATGTCTAGACTATATTTGTATGATGTTTTCTGTAAACTGGAGGCATTTATTTGAATATTAAATTTAAATAATTTCCAGGTCTGGATCAATATTAAAAATAGAATATGTTTGCATTTCTATTTGCTATCCTAAACTTTAAATGATCTGCTAACCTCTAAAATCGATCATGTTCAGTAATTTTTGCTTTTTGATAATCTTTAATCTTTTAGCCTAGAAGTGTAACTCTAGCCCTAAGTTTGGGAGAGAAATCTAAAGTTTTCAACAAAGAAAATATGATTCATAAATTCAAAAATCAAGAAATGTTTGACCTCTGAAGGTCAAACCTCTGAAGCTGGACTATTCAGCATATCTGAACATATTCAGACATACTGAGTGTTTAGGAAAATTAATGATAAAAAAATCAATCCAGGACTTTAGTTAGACCTTTATTTGAGTCAAACTAAAGCAACTTCTTTTAGCCTAAAAATAGTCTTAAAAGACAAAGATTTTTGGTATTGTTAAGGTCCAGTGATCAGTAAGATTTTTTCCTCTTTTATTGTCCAGTAAATAAATATGATCACTGATGTGATGCATTCACAGTAACAGGGTTTCGGTGTCGTTTTTTTCAACCCCTTCTTTAAAGGACAATGAGTAAATTTAGTAAAATCTTATCTTACCAGATTTATTATTTAAAACCTAATCTGTGTGTGGACTGCCATTAATTTCTCATGAAATTATTTAATGGTTTATGATGTATCGAGAGTGAAAATACAGAGATCTACTTAAAGCATAACAAAATAAAATAAAATGAGTTTTTTGTTGTTGTCTTGTGATTCTGTGTTTTCTGCCCATGAATGCTTCTGCTCAGTTGCCATTTCTTTATGTATCAATCTCAGAAAGATGATCTCTGTAACTGCTCTTGACATCGCACCCCGGTGGACATTTTGATTGAATCACATGTTAATATTCTCTCAGGGTGAAGCTGCTACTCTTCCCCCTTTCCTCTAAACTCATAACAAAGACTAATTTTATCACCTCCGCTGTTATTTCATCCCCTAAACCCACCGGGCCTTCTCTGGTGTCTCTGCGCAGTGACGGCGGCCTGGGTCAGAGTCAGGATGACAGCATCGTGGGCACCAAACAGTGTCGTCACAGCGTCGCCATCATGCCCATTCCTGGAAACCTGTCGTCAAGCAGCCCTGACCTGCTGCAGCCGGCGACCAGCGTACTCGACTTCTCCAACCCCTCCGGTGAGGAACGGGCAGTAAAGCCGCTTTACATCACAAAACACAAAAATACAAAGCCAGACAAGACACCAGTAACAAACACTACATTCTGATGCACTGCAAAAACACAAAATCTTACCAAGTAATGGTGTAATTTTTAAAGCAAATATCTTAGCACACTTGAAAGAAGACAAACTAACTCAAAAGTAACTTTTCAGCAAGAAGTAGGAGCCTGTTTTAAGTAAATAATTCCTTAATACTGACGAAAAAGTTCTGGTTCTGTTGGCAGATTATTTCATAAAGAGAACAGTGCCGTTACCTAGCAACCCCAGCCAAGTCCAGCCCGTTACCTAGCAACGCAGTTCTAGTTCCATTGGCAGATTGTTTCACTTTAACAAGACATTTTTAACATGTTACCATAAATTTTATTTACTTTTATTTGCTGATTTGGCTAATTTACAAACATTGTGCATCTTATATAAAACATAAAATAAACATTTACCAGGAAATATTCAAAAACTTCCCAAAAGAAGAAGGAGTTTATAATCAAAGGAAATGTAAATTTAAAGGTTGTAAAATCAGAACCTCAAGAAGTTTCTGTAGTGAGAAAATCTGAAATATTTTGTGAAATTAAAACAACTCAAACTACTGGGTAAGAAAATGGCTTACACTAAATATGAGACATAGTCTTGATATATTATGTTGTTATTGTAGCATTTTTAGCATCAATATTATAATTAATATGAAGTAGAGTTACTATTAGTGATACTCTTACCAATGGGAACATTGTAATTGAATATATTTATGTTGTTAAATTATTTATAAATAGCAAGAAATCATAATTATGTGTTGCTGGAGAAGTGTTGGGCTTTAATACATCCACACTTCTACTCACTCCTTTCAACATGTATTATTTATTGTGTTACTGTAATTTTACTTGTGAATTTTGACATTCAATAAGCTCAAATTAAGTGAGGCCTTGTTAGGGACATAATGGCTGAACTCTGTTTTCTTCTGGTTTATTTATCAGATTTTCTTTCTTGAAACTAGTCAGTGTATTTTACAGCAGACGGGCTAAATAGATTTGATATCCTCTTGGATAAAACGGGTTTTTAGTTTGAAACTTTCTGTGGATGTTCTATAGGATGAAGCTCTTTGCTCATTATTGATGGTGTTCTTTCAGCCGTGTGTTTTGGGTTGTGATCCTGTTGCTACGCACACAGTTTTGTCTCACCAGTCAAAAGATATCATCCCTGAAACCTTTGCGCTCGTCTCCATCCTTTCTGTCTTTTTTCTGTTTTTCTATCCTGGGTTTTCTTCAATAGAGGTCAGTTGGGTTCAAACTGCAAAGGCGTGTTGGTCATGTTATCACAAATTACATACATTTACCTTGGAGTTCAGCATGAACCGTTATTTTCACTTTTCTTCTTCAATAAACCTGGTTCAGCTTTGTTAAAAAATGATATGCATATTTTTTTACACGTATTAAAAACATTAAGGTATGCATTAGATTGTGGTCACTTCATCTCTTTCAGGTAAAATAAAACAATTTTTCACTGAATCAAGAAGTTTATATCCAGTCTGAGGGAAACCAGTAACTGTCCTACATGAATATGATTTGGCTCTTTGTGACCCCAGATGGTTAAAAAATGACATTAAATGTATTGAAAGATCATTTTATGCATACATTTAACTGGCATGTTTTAGAAGGTGAATCAGGAAAAAATGACAAGGAAATATTGTCATAATCTTTTGATTTGTGTCAGATTTTAATGCCGTTTGCAGCATGTTCACTTTTTAGTTTATAAGCTGCAGAAACATTTTAGTTTTTCTGCTCTCACTAAATGAACATCAGCAGAAAGTCTGGATAATTTCTGTGAAATGTAAAAGAGAAGCGACTGAGACCTAAATCCTGCTTCTGAGAGCTGACTGCTTCTCTCTGGAATCTTATTAATAATAAAACTAAAAGAAACTTTGAAAGTAACATAAAAAGGAGCAACTTCGGCAGATTTGTGTTATACTTAGTGACATGCTTTTGAAGATGCATTGATATGAAAAGAGAAAAATAAATTAAAAATCCCAAAATGTCTGAGCAGGAAGTAGATGCTCATTAAGCTGCTTTTTGCTGCGGCTCATGTTACTAAGCAGCTTGTTGCTAGGTAACCAAAGTCGGGCGGAACCTTAAACTGGCAGGTTGTTGCTAGGTGACCAAACAGAGGGCGAGTTAGTTGATTCCAGTAGCCTAGCTTAGCTTGGGTTGACTTTAGGTTGGGCAGCTAAAGTCTTTCCTCTGCCTACATTCCCCAGAATGCTGTGCGGTTCTGGACCAAAGTTGAATGAATATTCTATTGGACTTATTATCTATTGATATTGATCACGTGTGAGGCGAATCGATATATGTTGTTAATTTATTGCCTCCAATGTTTCAAAAAGTTAACTTTCTCATACAGAAATATAAAACATCTGATGAGATATTTATACAACACATCTCGGTGTCTTCACACAATTGTTCTTTGTTTCTTTTCTGAGAATACAGGAACTGGCAGGTTTCATGTTTACCATCAAAATAACCAGAACAGAGAGGCTAATGGAGGAAAGAATCACTGGGGTTTTCCAAACTGTTTCTGTCTGACGAGGATTAACCTCCAGGGTCATTAGAGGCCGTCTTCAATCTGCTCCTGTCACAAAGGTTCCCGACTCTATAATTATATAAACTAACAGGGCTCATTGTTCTGTTATTAATGTGGATGCAGACAGAATGTCAGAGAGCAGACTGAGGAAGAGAAAAGCGACATAAATTGTTAGCGACCATGATCTTAATTTATTCCACAAGCCGTATATCTGCTCTGACAGAGTGTAGGTGTGTATCTGTTTTTATCACCTCCACTCCTGTTGCTCTCCTTCCTCTTACTGAGATTTAATAGTAAACTGAATAACTTCTTTTCTCCCAATATGTACTGCAGATTTGAGCATCACTGCATTAATCACATTAGCATAAAAACATAAAGTTTGCCTTTTCTTTCATTTATTTTGCCTTAATTGTAAATCTTTGTTGGGGTTTTTTTGTAATTTCCTCCTTTTGTTTCACTTTGATTGTTTTTACTCAACTTTGTTTTTGCTGCAGTTTATACTTATTTTCTGCACCTGCAGCATTTTTTAAAACCAGATGGGGGAAATCCTTTGCATTTTCCCCAAATATATAAATATAAACCAAAATGGAACAAAAAAAATCTCTGGTCAGTAGAATTGAATGTAAAAAAGGATTATTTCTGAAATAGTGCAATTTTATGGTCTTAAAATGTCCAGATTTTCCACCTCTAGTTATCTATTAAATGTGCATGCTCATTCATTCAGTGCTTATTATTTTTAACTATCAATTTAAATGTTAGTTATCAAGTGACTAGGTTCTGTTTTTTACATACTTGTGTATGTTTTACATTCATATCAATAAACACATCTTAAACATCTTTAACACGGCATACTGAAGCTCACAGGAACCCTGTGAATATTATTTTGAGATGTAATGAGAGTTAATGGGTCTGATTAAAAACAATTAATATTCATAACCGAAAGCTCAGAGTTGCAGTCATACATTCTCCAACTTGTGACTCCTCATCTGGCTCATAAATCTTTGCTTCAGACATCACAGTCTGTCAGTATTTGCTAAGTAGAGCATGAATCTCAAAGCTCTTTTGCTTTGCAGGGTGACTAAATCCGTTTTCTTGCCATCAGGCGTTGATGTCTCTCCTGGTTTAACTCTGTGTGGAGCTATTTTCTCAGATCCCTATTTCTCTGTGTTCCTATTTCTCTGTGTCTTTCTTCCTGTCTTGTTTTGTGATTTTGAACAGATGCTCTAGCGTCGACATGTTGAGTCATCTCTGGTTTCTTATCAGATTAACACTGCAGCAGCAGCTCTCTGGGTCTTTCCCTCATTTTGTTGCTTTCATTTGTTCTCACTGTGGTTTCTCTTTCTCCCTACTGCTTGCCTAGCTCTTGGATTGTACTGTAAGTATTTAAATACCTTTACAGCTGCTATTTGCCCAAATCTCCCCCATAGCTTGATGCTTCTGACTTTCTGTAATCTCTGCGTCTTTCAGGTTGTAAAGAATATTGACTTGTGTTTTTATGTTTTGTGCAGTTACAGTAAAAGTGCATCAATAAGTCAGACATTGAAAATATTATACACCTTCAACTCTAACAGCAATATCACCATGACAACATGGTTTCTAACATTTCAATGGCTAGTTTAATGGTCCGACCATTTTTCTCAACAGAACTGGCTTTTTTAAAGGTTTGATGTATTTTGGGGATTATCTTCTTGTTGGATCAACTAATTCTGTACAAGATTAGGGAATTTTTTAAATTATTTTAATGAACAACCCAGAAACTATCGAGCCTGAAGTTAACTGGAAGCTGCTGGAATATGTGTGTCTTTGTCCACAGAGAAACAAGTTTTACGTTACGGTATCCTGAGAAGGTGCTGACCAGAAAGAAGCACCAGCTGCCAATCAGTTCAGATCTAAATAAAATTTGGAACTATCAACGTTGAAAAGCAAAAACAATTCTGGTGAAAAGTTGTTTTTTATGGTCAAAGGATATAAAGATTCACCCATTAGGCTACAATGGCAAGAAGAAGTTGTTTAAATGTGAAACATGGTGGTGGCAGCATAATGCTGTGGGGTGAATCCGAGACAGAATCCCTGAATCAACATGTAGAAAGTGGAGCTCCAACAAATAATCAGCCTAAACACAACTATTAAAGAAAATCACAAACAGTTCAGATAAATGATTAAAATCAACATTTAAAGCTAATTAAATAAATCAAAAATACTTACAATTTTTAACTTCTTTAACATGAAATTACTGAAAAATGCTTGAATGAGAACGCCATAAGAACATAATATCCATTGTCCACCATTGATGTTAAAATTATGCCCAAAACCCCAAACTGAAGAGTTTTATTGTCCAGTTTGTGGTAAAAATTATAAATTATGCAAATAGAAATTATTTGTTGCTCTAGAAAACAGTGGAAAAAAGCAATGAAAATGTCAGGTGATCCTGTAAGAACATTCCCATTAACCACCATAACAAATCCATTTCCAAAAGCCTCTGTTGTTGAACTTCACTGATACTCCAGTAGATGTTTATTAACTGGATGTGAGAGAAACCACTGTCCTCCTGCATTCAGGTCAAGTGTGCAGCAGTGGATTAAATGTAATTATTCCTCCTCCTTTTCATAGGACATAATAGGAGGATTTTTATCTGAGAGCTTTTCACACTTTAATCACAAGTCATCACAGTTAATGAGAAAGCATTTAGCTTCCACACAACCTGCACTCTGCTGGCTGTGAGCACATGCAGCTTACAGTTATTTCCAACTGCTGCAAAATACTGAGTGCCAGTCGTCTGTCACAAACTGCAAATGTTATGTTATTGATATTAATGAGCTTATGGTCTGCAAAGTGGCCATTTATCTGCAAGAAAAAGGGCCAATGTCAAAATATCAATATTTCCTATTTCCCCTGAACAACCCATGAAAGTGAACTGGAGGTTAAAGCTGATTAATTGCTTCTGAATTATTCAGCTACACAAAGAAAACATAAATGAGCCATCCCTTGAAATAAATTACAATTATGAACATTTGAAGTCAGAGAAAAGATAATTCAAGCTGCTTTCACACTAGTTAACCTATGGCCTGTGTTGATGAATCAAAAAACACATTTTATATATTAAAATATTACGTCCTGACTGGTTTATGCAGTTTGATTTATGATGCACCCTCAGTTTTAGTGTTCAGTGTTAGCTGTGCAGCTTCATCAACACGACGTTTTATACACAACCAATAAAATATCCAGCTGCTCAAATTATTGGATGAATCAGTCAGAAAGTGAGATCAACTCTCTACTGAGGTGGAGTGAATTTTCATCAGTGAAGACAGAGCATCTGCATAGCTTAGCATGGGATTAAGTACATTTTAAAATTGGTTGATTGCTACAACATTTCAGTGTTATAACATTTGTGTGGCTGGACATTAAATCAAAAACAAACTCAATAATTTTCCTTTGCATGATTTATTGTTTTTCACTTTTCTCTCTTCATACCAAAAACTGGATGATAAAAATCTTCAGTTTGGTGTTTTGGTCTCAACTGACCTTTTTTTTGAAGGACAGTTTTGTTTACATTCATTTTATTTGTTTTTTCTGCTTTTCAATTAAAATGTCTTCCAGTTCCAGTGTTAAATATTCATTAGTTTAAAGTTTATTGATCTCTTATAATGTGTTCTTTCTTTATTATTACCATTTTATTACTTGAAAATGGTCTCAAAACAACAATATTATCATTTATCACAATAAGTTCTGGGACAATTTGTCATCATGACACTCGATATTCTGATTCGAGTGTCAAAATAATCTTCAATGCTGCATAAACAAATTAAATAAAAGGAAGTCTAGAATAAAAGAGAAACACCATCTTTATCTGTTCTTGGAAAATAAACAGGAGAAACTAAAGGATCAATTTTACAGCTCCCTAAACAAGCAGGATGATCGATTATCTGCTTTTCTCCAACTGTATTGTTATTGGTTTTGCCTTTGGCAGCTTGTTTGTACTCATGTGCTGCTGCTGTAATGATGGTAATAAAGGTTTTGTCATCTGAACATTCAGACTCTGCAGCCATGTCTTTATCTTTATCTGTCTCTCAGTAATGGACCTTAGCATCCTCAATAATACAAAACATTTCTATGATTTAAAACACACACTGGGGTGTAAGTATTTGGTAGCCATGCTAATAATTGCTAACAGTTAAGCTTTAGGTTTTGATTAACAGTATTACTGCTTTATTCCATTTTTACAAAAGTTAAAGCCTCTTTATTTCAAATTAAGAGCTCTTGAATCTGACTTTTATGTTTTGCTGAAGTTTTAGCTAGTACTGTCACAATAACAAATTTTACTGGACAATGAATTGTCCCAGACGTTATTGCAATAAACGATAATATTGTTGTTGTGAAACAATTTTCAAGTAATACAATAGTAATGGCATAATAGTGCATTCTCAAAGATCAATAAACATTTAACACTGGACCTGGAAGACATTTTAAATAACCAAAATAAATAAACAAAACAACAAATAAAATGAATTATGAAGTTTCTGTTTTAATTTTCAGAGGATAAAAAGTTTCACCTTTTTAGCTGTAATGACAAGAAGTAAGTTTGGAAGAGAAAAGGTCACAGTACCAGCAGTAAGGCATGGTGGTGGTAGCATAATGCTGTGGGTCAAATCCACTGCCAGTGAAAAGAAAGAACTTCCCCTGAGTCAACCTGGATGTTACAACAAATAATCATCCCCAACACAACTATTATTTAAAAAAATCACAAGAAGAAAAATCAATAAAATCAATATTTTCAGTAATTAAATAAATCAAATTAAATAAATCAAATTACTGAACATGATATCTAACTTATTTAACATGGAATAAAGAAAAAAAAGACTTGAAATGGCTAGAAATGAGAATGCCTACTATTGATGCCAAAATGATGTAGATAAAATTGTCCTTAAAAAATAACAGTTGAGACCAAAACACCAAACTGAAGGTTTTTTATCCAGTTTAGACAGAAAGAGAGAAAAGAGACAGCCTTAGGTTTAAGTTAAATCTACATATATAACACAACTTTGAGGATTTGCAAACACTTGTTGGAGCTTCATTGATTAATTTTCATGTCTGATTGCTCATTTCTGCCGTCTCTGCAGACATCCCAGACCAGGTTATCCGCGTGTTCAAGGCAGACCAGCAGAGCTGCTACATCATCATCAGCAAGGACATGACGGCCAAGGACGTCGTCACACACACTGTCAACGAGTTCAGCCTCCCGGCGCCGCCGGACACCTACTCCCTGTGCGAGGTGTCCGTCAGCCCAGAGGGGGTCATCAAGCAGCGCCGGCTTCCCGACCAGCTCTCCAAACTGGCCGACCGGATTCAGCTGAACGGCAGGTGAGCAAGCAGCACCTTTAAGCTGCTGTTGGGGTTTGTTCCCCAAAGCCAGCATGGTTCTGCTGGACTGTGGAGCATTATCTTCATAAGCCAGAAATACACAAGTAAAGCTGCAGTATGAAATTTTTATAAAAAATGTTTTTTTTACCTAGAAATGACTCAAGCATGGAAGTAAAGCCATGTCCAAACTGTTGAAAACGTTACTTCAGAAGATGATCATCACTGCATTTCAATATGAGAAATAAATACTGTTGTTACTGATATTACAAAAGTTGCTATTTTAAAAAGTTGTCAAATATTTCTGCTTTATGGCAGATTAATTTAGAAGGAACTTAATGTTAATAGTAAATTAATGGATGATGCTGTAGATGTAAAATAAGTTCATATTTCTACCCACTCCTCTACTACTGCTCTTCTTTTGTTTGCTTCAGTTTTTAATTTATTTTCTTTGTGCGTCACTAGACTGTGATTGACAGCACTAAGACCCGCCTCCTGGCTCTGATTGGTTGTTTCTAGTTAAACTGGGAGAAAGTAGAGGAGTTACATTGTTTTTCACAGGTTGTCTCTTAACATATTGTGACAGTTTCAGCAAATATGTAATAAAAATGTTTTTTATTAAAGTTAGATTCTGCAGCTCTAATGGATGTGGAGTCAAATCGGTCTGAGGAAATGACTTAAATCTTAATCCATGGTGAAAAGAAGGAAGGAGCTGAGACCAAACCACAGACTTTCAGATTACAGACTGCAGCCTTTTGAAAGCTTTCATGAATAACCAAAAGCAGATGTATGACATAAAACATTAACAGTCAAGAGCTTTTTCTTCCTTTTTCTTGACAGATTATTTCTAGATTGGCTGAAATAGCAGAAGTTTAAACAGCCTGGTGTAATCTTACATTTAGAGGTCTCGTCTTGACCAAAGTATCATCCGTATCTTTCACACTGTGGATCCAGATTCACACGTCTGCATGAGATTAGCTGTGTTAGGAAGCAGATCATGTTCCTCTGCTTTGGTACAGATTAAATCCTTCCTGAGGAGGGGCTCTCGCTCCTCTTCCTGAGGACACCGGGTGATTTATTTCATTCACTTAACATTTTTTTTGGCTGCACAACATGAATACAAATTACTCAGGACTCCATCTGTTGAACTGAAACACAATCTGTAAGAAATAAAACAAATGTAAGTCTTTGTTCTCTCAGGTTGACCTCACAACAGACACACTTATGTTCACTGTTTATTCTAACAAAAGAGGAAATACAATTCAATAAATAACCCTAAACAAACTACAAAACATTATCTCCCAATGAGCAGTTAGCCACAGTTATGAAATTAAACATCAGTAAAATTAATAAAACATCAATAATAAGTTAACAAAATACACAAAACATGGAAAGATTACTCATGAAACACCATGTATGTTTAAATTTTCTAAAATATGTTAAAATATGATGCTTGTAAAGACAGATCTGGTCCTGATGCAGTTACAGATGGCAACAGAAAAAAGGGGAGGAGCTAGTTACTGGTTGCTATGGTAACCACCAACCATCAGCAAAACAGAAGTTAAAACCAATAAACAACTTCTGCACTGAAAAACATGAATGTGACGGATACATAAACACATTTTTGCAAACTTTACATCCATAATATTAAAATAAAACCTTTTCTTTTGTCATAATCACAAATTTAAACTCCTGTTTTTCAGTAAGTCAGACCTTTTTCAGCTCACTGAAAGTCAGATTTGTTCTTCTTGCGTCCTTTTCATCTGAAATCCAGCAGAAAAATTGAAGTGGAGCAGCAGATGCTGCCTCCTCCATTACTTTTTCACAGTTTTCCCGTCTCTCCTCCCCCCTCCTGTCGTTAGGGTCCCTCGTCAGTCCCCTCCCAACAAGGCTAGCATGAATTTTTCATCCTCTGTCAGGGCGGTGGCCTCTGCAGGCAGCATGGCATGTATGGAATTATTCATACAGCCTCATGCAAACATCCCTAATACAATTAAGACTCTTCTTTTGTACAACTGAGCATATCTAAAGCTGTACATAAATTAAGAAAATACACATTACTTGTTTTTGAGAGAGCTTCAGTTTTACATATGAAGAATGGGGAGCATTTATGGTTAATACAGAGGCTTCAGTGGTGTTTGTTGATGGTTTTGTAGCGTCAGCAGTGTGTGCGTTCACAGCCATCAGCAGAAGAAGTTCCCGTTTAGCAGAAACGTTTGGGAGCGCTGTGTCTCTTCGTCGTCCTCCAGACTCCAGCGCTCTGCTGCTGCTGATTGACAGCAGCTCAGGGAGTGGCAGGCTGAGCCAATAGCAGGCCTTCTGCACCCTGTCAGCCTACATAGAAATGAAGTGAGGATGGTATCCTCACACACACACACACACACACACACACACACACACACACACACATACACTGAGTGTTTCCACTGGGTATTTCTCAAAGATTACGCTGATTCTGTTTATCTTTAATTTAGTCTCGTCTGCTGTCCTCATCCTTTCTTATCAAACCCTGCTCTCTTCTTTGTGTTTTCTTCATTGATCAAGTTCTTCTTTTTCTACACTTGGCCGAATATCTCCTCTACTTATCAGTTACATGGCATTAAATCAGCAAATTCACATCAATACCATAATATTACATTGTAAATATTTGAAATAATCCAACCTATAATTTAACTACTTTTTTTTTTTTTTTGTCAGCTTATCAAGATTTTGAGGAACTTTTTATTAATAATTAACAAATTACCCAGTTGGTGAGACTAGTATTAGACTAGTTCCCACTAAGGGAAGTGAAAAACTGATAGAAAACGGCATCAAGGAGCAGCATGCTGGGTTTATAAATCTCCATGGCAACCGTCACCTGCCATCTAAAGGCCAAATAATGGAAATATATTCATCGTTACTGAGATTCAGCAAAACTAACCCTTTGCCAACATACTTTTCAAGATGAATACCGTATTTTCCTCACTATAAGGCGCACCTAAAAACCTTCAATTTCCTCAAAAGCCGACAGTGCGCCTTATATATGGACCAATATTGAGCCACAACAGGTCTGGCAACTACGGTAAGCAGCCGCTGACTTCATTTTCGCCCGTAGAAAAAGAAGCGCGTGGTGAATGCTGGGATAGTTGTCAGAACGCTGGTTTGTTAATAAAGTTTGACTGACCTATCTCCCTACCGACCTGATAATCAGGTCGTCTGCAGGTCACTTAGCACCACGTTCTCCACCAACATGCTGTGCATGAATGGAGAAGGGTGACCATCGTCCGGCCAAGTCTCTCCTCACCGACCGGAGTCGGACTGTTTTGTTGACATTCTTTATGTCAACAAGTGGCTTTAGACATTCATCCGTGGTGCTTCGACTAGAGTTACCAAGGGACCAGCCCCGATGCATTTAAAGCCGGAGAAGAGAGACAGAGACTGCAGCGGCAGCGTGTCGGTTGGTCTGTGTTACCCAGAAAGCAGTTGGGCACAATATCGCAACACCGTGAGTGAAACAACAACTGGGGCAGCCTGCTATATAAAGTACTCTGGGACCAGTTCTTTATTATTACACATCCACATCTGAAGAGATGCGTCCGGTGGCAACCCTAACTGTAGCGTCTATTCTATGGGCCTTATAATGCGGTGCGCCTTATATATGAAAAAAGTTTTAAAATAGGCCATTCATTGAAGGTGCACATTATAGTGCAGAAAATACTGTACTTAGAGAAACACCTTACTTATGCTCTGAAAAGTACAGTGGAGTATCTGTGATGCTATGGGCTTCCTTCCCTGTTTGTAAGAAAACGCTGCTGCAGTAAAATCTGACGTTTTAAGGCTTTTCAAACACTTTGGTTTATGGCCTCCAAGCTAAATGTTGCTCTGCTCTTTTTCTGTTGACCTTGTTTCACACCTTGTGTTTTATGAGAGAATTTAGCTCAGTCACAACGCAACCTGTTGCTCTGCCTTCCAGCTTCTCTGTCAGCATTATCGTGCAATTTAGTCTCCAGTCTGTGCCAACACTTTACTGCTGGAGAGAGCCCACTCCAGGCCTTGAATCCTCAGAGGGTCTGCGTTCCAGGATGCCTGCATTACGGCTCCATTAGAGGGAAAGTACGAAGGTTTACATTTATAAACACAGCAGCATATGGTGGAAGAGATGAGATGGTGAAGGCAGTAAATCAGGAGAGTCAAACTCACTTTCATTTGATCAAAAGTCTGAATGTTCTTAAAGGGCCGGTTGTGACACAATGTATTGATAAAACCCATTGAACTGTTGAAATATTAATAAACAGCAGTTCCTCCTGCATTTTATGATTGTTTTTGTGTTTTTTTGCAATCAAAACCACATATTTTGGGTGCTAATTTAGAAATACTTGTAAAGAATTGTTATGATATTTCCGTAAATGTATGATGTTAAAATTCAGTGAGAAAATATTCTTCTATGTACTTTAAGTCCCTAAAGAGACTCAAACGATTAAGCGTTATGCAGCTTGAGAAAGGGCAAAGAAAGACGGATTTGGGGAGTATTTTTCAGGTAAATAATCCACCTCCTTGTGTTTCCGTCTCATTGCTGTTTCCTACAGATATTACCTGAAGAACAACATGGAGACGGAGACGTTGTGTTCAGATGACGACGCTCAGGATCTCCTCAGAGAGAGTCAGATCTCCCTGCTGCAGCTCAGCACCATGGAGGTCGCCGCCCAGCTGTCGATGAGAGACTTTGAACTCTTCAGAAACATCGAGTCCACAGAGTAGGCACTTTGTGATTTATATACCTGTAATACTTTATGTGACTGCCAAAAAAGAAAGAAATTTAAAGTGCCAAATGCATGGCAAAATGTAGAAATTGTTGGATCTCATGCATTGTTTTCTCTCCTTGTTCCTGTTGCTAGGTATGTGGAGGACTTGTTCAAGCTGGACTCGTCTGCTGGGTGTACAAACCTGAAACAGTTTGAGGAGGTGATAAACCAGGAGACCTTCTGGGTGGCTACTGAGATCCTGAAAGAGCCAAACACCCTGAAGAGGATGAAGACCATCAAGCACTTCATCAAGATCGCTCTGCACTGCAGAGAGTGCAAGAACTTCAACTCTATGTTCGCCATCATCAGGTGGGTTCAGTCTGTCTGCTCACCAGCCACAACAGTTGGGCCCAATGAGACCTGCTGGCTGGATATGGATTGTTGTTTTAACTGGGAAACATCTGGTCCAGGGAAAAGACCACAACACTCTTCAGTGTGGAAGTTGTTAGAGTGGGAAGAAGACTCAAAGTTAGATATTTTCAGTGTTTAAAAAGCAAGTCAGAGGAAACAAAGCAAGTGAAAGAAGCTGTTCAACAGTAAACTTTGCTGCTTTGGTTGTTTCATCCCCTGTTAAACAACCAACTGGCTTGTTTTCTGGGTATGAAAACCCAGAAAACATTTTTCCTATGGTGGGAACTAATTGACCCAAAGCTGACCTCAGTAGATAACAGGAAGGCTGAACGGAAGTTTACCAGCTTCACCAGGTAAACTTGATCATTTCTAATGGAAGATGCAATAATCTCCACCATCACACACACAGTGTGACGTCACCTATTCTTCTACAATAAAATACCACAAAGTCAAGGCTAGAAATAAATACTATGAACACTGATACTGACAGAAATCTGAATCCGATCAAAGCTTCACAAATACCTGAAATAAGCCACAAAATCACTTTAAACTCCAGAGCAGCTTTCTGAAACGATCTTCTGGAGCAGTGTTAAAAAACACGACTAGAGGTTATATCAAAACATCTAAATTACTTAACTTTCTGATTACTGAATGTTTTAATAATGTGTCAGGAGAATCAGGATTACGTCTCAGATTTATCTTTAGGTGTTAAACTGTATCAGTAACGATCTGAGCTTGCAGCAGCTGAGCATAACGATCCTTTGTTCACAGCTGTGAGAAACGCGGAGCAGAGGAGTCTGACCTCCATGTCCCCTTACTCTGCTGCTCACAGCAGGATCTCCTGGTGCATATGGCTCTCTGATGCTTAACCTGCCCGGTGACAGGGGCACATCTGCCACTGTGTGCAAGAAACAGGAAACTCAACGTTCTCCTACCGACTCTGTCGCAGTCTGAAATATAAACCACACTGGATTTTACCTTAAGTTTCACTTTTCAATCCCACAGAATAAAATGCATTTGGATTGTAGGAATGTTTATCACATTAAATTAGATATCAAGCAAATATTTTCAGAATCTGTATTTCTGCTCATAAACACAGTGTTCAGGTTAATCTTCCATAAAAACAAAGTATGGATCCAAACACATTAAGCCCCACACAGAACATGCTGACGTATTTTTGTGAATTAATTTCTTATAGGAAGGATCCCACAATTCAGATATAACCAAAAATGTTTAACTGGACCAATATCTAATAATTTAGTCATATTTAAAATGTAGAAAGCACAAAAAAAAAACATCTTCTGAAGAAGAATATACCAGCAGGTTGTTTTGCATTATTGCAGCAGAATCATATTTTCTGCTTTGGATTCTTAGTGAACTGCTTTTTTAAAATCTTTTTATTGAGGTAGTTACAGTTCACAGTAATCCAGTTTCCTGGTGTGTTTTTGTGATTGATAACCGACTGCCTGGGAGAAGTGACTCACTTTACTAAACATAAGAAAAATACAAAACACCCAAGATGAAATAAGTGTTGAAAAGTTTTTGTCGCTTCATATATTTTGTCATACAAAACTCGAATTTATTAAAATGGACAGAATTTACAAAAGGTACAAAAACAGAGAGAATAAAGTAAGAGAAAGAAGAACGCATACCGTCTTAGTCAGCACCTCACGTTGCCTCATTTCCGCCCTGCCTGCTCCTCTCCCTCTCTCCTGCACAGCGGGCTGAACTTGGCACCGGTGGCCCGGCTGCGAAGCTCCTGGGAGAAATTGCCCAGTAAGTATGAGAAGCTCTTTGAGGACCTGCAGGACGTCTTCGACCCGTCCAGGAACATGGCCAAGTACCGCAACGTGCTGAGCAGCCAAAGCATGCAGCCGCCCATCATCCCGCTGTTTCCTGTGGTCAAGAAGGACCTCACCTTCCTGCACGAAGGTAGGGAAACTTGGTGACGTTTCTGTCTGGTTTAGCTGAAAGCAGAAGTCTGTTGAAGGTTTCCATAATCTGTCACATTAAAAACACAAACTTTATCTTGTTTAACCAGATTTTAGGCGATAGGCCAACATAAAGTGATATATATTTATGATTGGGGAAAAAACCTGAAAAGTTTGTATCAACATTACCATAAAATTTGCACAGATTGGCTGGAGTTTGCAAAGCAGCCAATCCAGGAGCACCATTCGTTTTCCGTGGTGCTGATTGGCTGTAGGTATGAGCCAGAGTTTGGTAGTAACTACTTACATTTACTTCAGAAACCTTTTAGAAAAAATAATTTTATTAGAGTAATTTCATTATGAAGTGTCTCTACTCTCACTTGAGTAAAATTTCTGGATTTTCCACCCTCTGTGCAGAAGAACCAGGACAGTTTCCTTTGGGTACATTGGTGCAAATATAAGGTTTATTTTGTGTTTATACTATTAAAAAAGGACATTACACAGAGTTAGTTAGCTCCAGCTAAATAAACAAAACAAGGTTTAAAAGTGATTTTGCTCCATTACCGTCTCTTTGCAGCATAAAGTCAAACTTGGGCTCCAATGAACCTGTTTCTGTTTCCCCATCGTATATTTGTAAACTACCAGGTCAAAGTCAGGTTAGAAAACCTGAAACTGTCTGGCATTTTCTGATAAAACAGAAAGTTTCCTTAATTGTGAAAGTTTCAAAAATAAATACTGCCTTCCAAAAAAAATGTTAAAAACAGGAACCTTGATCTCCTGCAACAATGACCAGAGATTCTCTTTTCTTTTACGTTTCAAGAGTCTCAGAATATGAATGTTTCATAAAACGCTGACAGCTCACTGTGAGTTAAATTGGTTTGCTTGTGTGTGTGTGTGTGTGTGTGTGTGTGTGTGTGTGTGTGTGTGTGTGTGTGTGTGTGTGTGTGTGTGTGTGTGTGTGTGTGTGTGTACGCTCACCTGTTTCCTCCCAGGCAACGACTCCAACGTTGACGGCCTTGTGAACTTTGAGAAGCTGCGGATGATCGCGAAGGAGATCAGACATGTGGTGCGGATGACCTCGGCCAACATGGACCCCGCCCTCATGTTCAGACAGAGGTTAGTTACCATTTATTCATCTGTTACTTCTTTTTATTCTGCTTCAGTGTTGTTGTTGGGGCCAGTTTTCAGATCTTAAGAGCGATTTTGGTGAGTCAGATTTTATTCAATCTGTTAACTTACAGAAATAATTAGCCAAACTCTAGGCTTTACTGAAAATCTAGAGATTCCTGCAAAGCTGCTTTATGTAACTTTTACAAATAAGATGTTTTTACATAATCTGTGAAAAGATCCTTTTTCACTGATTATGTACTACTATTGCTGTCTGAAGAAATGCACCAAAAACAACCAATTACAGCAAGGAGGCGGGTCTTAGTGCTGTCAATCAGCCTCATATACGGATTGCCAAATATGCTAATAATCGAGAAACAACTCATCGTTACAGAAAAACTGTTTATCATAGAGCAAGGGATGGAAGGAGAGGATTGATTGACAGCGCTAAGACCCGCCTCCTGGCTCTGATTGGTTGTTTCTAGTTAGCACTTAGAGAAATAATAGGAGATCAGTTTTTCCAGACTCATATCCTGTCACAACATAGTGAAAAAGTTACATCCTGCAGCTTTCTTCCTCCTGTTTACCATCAGATTGGAGGAAAAATCCTCAGAGTGTTGAAGTGTGAAGGTAGATGTTAGTTTAAAAACAAAAACATGTTGGCAAAAAGGGAAGCACGGCTACCATACATCCTCCAGCCAACCTGGATCCCTCAGCTGTGGGATCAGGCCACGCTCAGCGTCTCGTCCAATCAATTCCCTTCGCTTCCTTCCCTGGTCATGTTTGGGTTGCAGTTGTTAATCTGCAATGCAGTTTGGAAGTGGAGGTGGAATTGATGACAGCTGCTGCGTGTAGCTGGAATCGCTCAGTTTGTCTGTCACAGTCTGTCACTGCCGCGGTGCATGACTGCCCCCTGCAGGCACCCCCATCTTACTACACCTTCAGGAAGTCCTGTCAATAAATTCTGTAAATTAAAACATTAAAACTCACTTTTTGGGCTGATAAGGGGAGAATGTCCCACATGTGGTCATTTCCGGTCATTTCCTGTTTGTTTGTGGTGGCATGAAGTCTACATGAGTCTCGTCTCCTCCTCCACTCCTCCCCAAGTCGTTAAACTTGTCTTTAAGTCACGCCTCAATCTTCACGCCTCTTGCTTGCAGGAAGAAGAGGTGGAAGAGTTTAGGGTAAGTCGTGGCCCGGTTTCCAGTTTTTAACCCAGTTCCAGTCTGGACCGGCTGAAATTTTGTCCACCCTGCATAAAACTCTGCATGTGTTCCTTTTTCTGTGTGTCTGTGTGATTAACCTCCCATTTGCATTGGCAGTGCTCATCCACATGAATCCATTGAACACCCATTGATTATCTGCCATGTTCATAAGAAGTCAGATAGTAGCTTGTAAAGATGTTATGATCCATAACTGGCTGCATTTTCTAATGCAGCCATATCTTCCTCACATTATTGCAAACCCTGAAATGTGTCGTTTGTTGACGATGTCAGACATTAGGTCAGTATTTTATTCTGAAAATCTTTTCCTGAAGTTTGACATTACAGGCGTATTCAAAGTTCTTGTTCACATTTTTCACATTATAGCCATAAAATTCATTGTATTTTATTTGAATTTAATTGGCTAGACATAAAATAAAATCTGCAAATATGGTTTATAAATTTATTTTCATAAATTTCTCTTGTCCTCCAAACTTCTTGTTTTAAAATGAACTACAAATTGATGTTCACTGATGTTTTCCATCCAGTCTGACTGAGATTTTGTCATTTCTACAAAAAAAATGAACAAAATGTTTAATCTCTAGACATCAAAACTTCTACAGAGGTTCCCCAGAAGATGTGCTGCTGGAATTAAACTCATATCAGTAATTATTGATTAGTTTTTTGTTTTGAATATCTGAAATAATGCCAGTCTGGTGGCTTGACCTTTCCTCTGTTACCCAGAGTTTTCTCTACACACCATTTTTTATTTTTAAGCTGTTATAAGGAACAGTGGGGAAACCTGAAACTGCTGCTGCGCAAGTTACTCAACAGACTGTTGCTAGGTAACCAAAGAGTGACTCAACAGACTGTTGCTAGGTAACCAAAGAGTGACTCAACAGACTGTTGCTAGGTATCCAAAAGTTACTCAACAAGTTGTTGCTAGGTAACCAAAGAGTGACTCAACAGACTGTTGCTAGGTAACCAAAGAGTGACTGAACAGACTGTTGCTAGGTAACCAAAAGTTACTCAACAGACTGTTGCTAGGTAACCAAAAGTTACTCAAGTTGTTGCTAGGTAACCAAAGAGTGAGTGAGTTGCTAGTTGCTTATTGAATATTTGATCAAGCGTGTTATCTACTGATATTGATCGATATTTTTACTGATTTATTGTCCAGAATTAGGTTTAATACAAATATGTGGCACAATTTTTAGACTTTATTTGTGAATAAGTAATTTTCTATCATATTCACAATTTGAAGTTGTTTTGCCTAAAATGAAACTCATTAGATAGAAACTCCTAGTTTGGAAAATGTGGAAAATACTCCAAAAATCTTGATGTTTCTCATCTCCACATCAGCAAATGAGTCACCAAACCAGTTCCTCTGCCAGCTGTTGGTAAAAATGGAAAATAAAATTAACAGTTTCAGCATTTGCAAATACTATTTGACTCTGGTTTGTGTTTGCATCTCCACATCTGCATCTCCACGTTGAGTATTCTGCATCCTGTGTTTCCTAACCCTTTTTGCCTCCATCGGACAGAATGTCCCGCTGTTCTGCACTGTCAGCATGGCCCATAAGGGGGCGCTGCCTCTCTCCCCGGTTGCATGGTCCCGTTTTAAAATGCTGTGCTGCAAAACAGATTTTCAGATTTTACCGAAGTGTTTTTCTGTTTACTCAGAGTGATTTTATGATTTTGCCTCTTTCTTTTCTGCCTCTCTTTTTCTTCACTTCCTTTATCCTCTGAATCCTCTCCAATCTAAATCTGTTTCCATTCATTTTCTTTCCTCTCCATCTCCAATGTCTCTTCCTCCTCTGTCAGGTCTCTGAGTCAAGGCAGCACCAACTCCAACATCCTGGACGTTCAGGGTGGAGCCCATAAGAAGCGCGTGCGCCGCAGCTCCCTCCTGAACGCTAAGAAGCTTTACGAAGACGCCCAGATGGCCAGGAAGGTGAAGCAGTACCTGTCCAACCTGACGGTGGAGACGGATGAGGACAAACACCAAATCATGTCCCTGCAGTGTGAGCCGTCTTACAACACATGTGAGTTAATCAGGAGTCAGACTGAATGTGTTTTAAACTAAAAGTTTCTGCATTACTAGTATAAACTATGGAGGACCAAACCTGACATAATTAGCAATAATTAATTTTTAATTCACTAAAAATTAATGAATTAATAATTAATTTATTTATTGCTAACTAATGTAAAAGAATAAAATTAATTGTAAAAAAATATTTTAATTAAAAATAAATTAATTATTTTAATTGATTTTAAATAATGTATTTTAGATGCACTGTGGTTAAAAATATATTTTTTGTTTTTTACTTTTCCTTATACAAACATTTTTTTCAGAACATACACATTTATGTTTTTCTTAAACATGTTTTGTTCACTCTCTATTTTAGAGATGCGTGTATAAGGAAAAGACAAAAAATATGTCTGCTTTTATTTTTTGTTTCTAATTCTAGTCTGAAGTTTTGCATTTCGTCTCAGTAAACAGAAACTTAAAGAAAAAAAGTTGTTTGTATCTCAAGATGAATTAGTGAACCTAAAACTCAACTGTTTCCCTGAAAATTAAATATATTTTGATTGACCTTTGCTTGGTTTTGTAATATTCGCTCACGCTGCCCCCTAGCAGGTTTCCTCAACAATGACATGACAACACAGTCTGCATTTAATGATGCAGCTGGTAAATCTGTTTAAAAGTGTAGCTCTAAACCAGATAAACATGAATGTTTTTATTTACCACAGTTCAAGTTTCTGAATTATTTCTGAATCACTGACTGTTGATAAAGAAATGTTGGTTTGTGTCACATCATATAAAAACCCCAGAGAAACAGGAAGTTATGGATTAAAAATAAAGAGTTTGTAGACACTCATATGAAAATAATAACATACATGTGGAAAATATCTTGTTATAAGTGAAATAATCTGTCAATGGAACTAGAACCTTCTCACCAATATTAAGGAATCATTCATTTATAATTAATGTATCTTTCTGGAAGGTTAATTGTAAGTTTTGCTCTAGAAACTGGTTGCAGTTTGTGGCAGAGTTTGTAAATGTACATTTCTATTAACTGTCTTTGTTTTCAGTGGGTAAAAACCTGAGCGAGAGGCGGGCGAACAAGTCGGACATGTCTCCGGTGTCCCTCAGGGCGACGTTACCCTCAGGGAAAACTCAGAACAGGGTGTCACAAGTCCTGCAGGTCCAGGTGCCTCTGAACCCTCTGAGGAAGAAGAGCACCGCCAAGGACAACAGCGCCTCCAGTGAGTTTCCTCCGCTACACTTTACCGGTTCTACTTGCTTCACAGTTTGTCTTCATGATCTTATTTTTTCTTTCTGTTAGACTCAAATTCTCCGCAGGTGGTGAAGAAACCTTCAGCGAACCCGTCGGATGAGTGGAGCGCCAAGAGGCCGTGTGATGACACCGTTTCCACCGTGTCGTCGCTCCACTCCAGCCCCACAGTGTCGCCTCAGGGCTCGCCACGCAAAGGTACGCAACACACATTCATTCCTCCAGTGACTCTGGAAGACACTTCATTTAAACACTGACAGGACAAACATGAACACGAAGGAGTCTTCATGAATATATACGTCTGTTGTCATGAAGTATTTGGTAAATAATGACACTTTTATTGCAAAGTAGATACTTTTAATTGGTTTTAATTAAATGTTGCATGTCATGACAACAGTTGTAGATATTTATGAAGACTCCTTCATGTTCATATCAGGTGTTATTTACAGTATCACACTGCAAAAACTCAAAATCTTACCAAGTATTTTTGGTTCAGGTTTTTTTTCACATGTTCTCCTTTCCGTCTCTTTCATTTCTTCTGCCAGTGGGCGGCGCCGCAAAATCGCAGAACTCAAGCCAGATGAACTTATCGGGATCCTCGTCGTCGCTGACCAGCGACGCCAGTACAAAGACGGGCACCATCAGTCTGCGCAGCTACGGCATAGGTGGGGCCCTTCTCCACAAGAGGATCCTGCAGATGACCAGTCAGCATAGCCGAGAGAGCAGCAGGAACAGAGAGGGACAGGTTGAGGACGAGGCAGAGGCAGGTCAGGAAGAACCGAGGAGAGGAAGATCCAGGCAGCAGAGGAAACCGGAGGCAGAGGCAGGGCAGGCGTTACCCAGGAGATCAGGAACCCCAGAGACGCAGAGGGAGAACCCCTCGGCTCACTGCGGGTCTCCTCCTCCTCCCCACGCTGGTGTCAGGACACCCATCAGGGCCAGACTGCTGTCTCCTTTCAGGGTGCTGAGAGAGAGGAGTCAGTCCAGAGAGAGGCCGCTGCCAAAGAGCGAGGAAGCTTCCGGAGAGACTTTGTCCTCCTCGGCTCAGCAGGAGGCTGAAGGACAGACAGAGCAGAGAGTCAGGAGATCGGTCAGCCCCAACCCGTTCCTCTGGCTGTGCCGAGACCGACACAGCAGGAGGAAAACCATCTGAGACGTCCGAGACAGACAGCGCCAGGAGATTAGAGTTACAGGATGCCTCCCTCCAAAAGTTTCCAAAAGAAATGATGTAGCAGACAGAATGAGAGATTCAGTAACGAGGCAGAAACAATTCCACACTGCAAAAACACAAAATCTCATCAAGTATTTCTGTCTAGTTTTTAGCACAAATATCTTAATACACTTGAAATAAAACCAAACTAACTTACAAGTAACTTTTCAGCAAGAAATAAAAGCTTGTTTTAAGTTCCATTGGCAAATGATTTTATTGGTAACATGGAAACATGTTGTAAGTGAAATAACCTGCCAATGGAAGTAGAATTTGGTTGCTAGGTAACGGGCTGGGCTGGGCTGGAGTTGCTAGGTAACGGACTGGGCTTGGCGGGGGTTGCTAGGTAACGGACTGGGTTTGGCGGGGGGGTTGCTAGGTAACGGCACAGTTCTCTTTGTGGAATAATCTGCCAGTGGAACTAGAACTTTTTCACCAATATTAAGGAAAAATTGACTTAAAACAGTCATATTTCTTGCTGAAAAGTTGCTTGTCTGTTAGTTTTGTCTTAAGTTCACTGAGATATTTTCTCTAGAAAGTAGACCATGAGTATTTGGTAATATTTTGTGTGGTTCATTCACTGATCAGAAAAGATTGTATTTGAGTTTTTCGATGTGGCTGATCTCCAGCCGGTTTGTCGTTTCTTCTTCAGTTAATGTTGAAGCATTAATCCTGCCGTGAACAGAAAAACATTCACCACTAAACAGACTTTTAGAAACAAACTTTGACAAAACGAGATTTGTCTCAGGTTTGTATGTGACGATCTATTTGTTCATTTATGTGTGTTACTGAGTTCTGCAGGTTCTTGTGATAAAAAGTTCAAACTCTGAGTTCAAACTTGTTTCACAATCATTTAAATGACAGTTAGTGTTAAGTGGGTTAATGGAGGTTTGGTCAAACTGCAGGTAGCTACAGAACCAACATCATATTCTCGGTTGTTGATTCTCCTCCCAGTCATTTCATCCTGAATGTCCTCCGTCTTCAGGTTGTCCCCTCCTCCCTTCTGCCAAATCGGACAACCTGTCGGACTCCAGTCACAGCGAGATCTCGTCCCGCTCCAGTATCTGCTCCGTGGACTCGGCGCAGGCCTCCGGACCGGACGACCGCTGTAACCGGGCCGGTTCCGGTACCGCTGCCACCGTTGCTGCTAATGCTACGGCCGCGACGGCTGCTGTGGTCGCTGAGGGCACAGCGGCATTAAATGCACACTTAACTGCTGATTACAGCCAGCCCAGCACAAGGTAATTGGCTCCAGTTCAGTTCGTTTTATCTAATCTGTCTGCTTAATTATCTGAGGGTGGAAGCAGCGCTCGTTAAATGGAAGCCATAATGAGATGAACGGGATTTAGATTTTAGAGGAATCCCGTCAGGGTTTAGACCTCATCCAGAAAACACGACATTTAATAGAATAATGGATTTTTACATTGTGATAAACCTTTTAATAATCTAATACAGGGCTGTGTTTTACATCCTTTGGACCTTTTGACATTTTTCCTTATTACAGCAGAAAGTTTGGTGAAGGACTTTGCATAAAGTAGCTAACATGAAACTATCATTCATGTTAGTTTGTAAGTTTGCTCTCTTTTGTTTTTACAAAATATATTAAAGCCTCTTTGAACAACAATAATCACATTTTTTCCCCTGTATTTTTTTATTATGTTTTTTTTTACATCTGGGCTTTGACTGGACCATTCTAACATTGGTGTTTTTTTATTGCGACCGCAGCATTGTAGCTCTTTCTGTATATTTAAGGTTGTTAATCTGGTTGCCAGGTTTTCTTCCACAATGGCCTTGTATTTACCACCATCTAAACTTTGTCCTTATTCAAGATGAACATTCCCTTAGCATGACCCCCCACCACCGTGCCGTTGGCAGCGCAGGGTTAGCTTGTAGCCACAGATACTTGCCGTTTTCTCTCCAGCCCAATAAGGGGCTCAGGAAAGAAGAAATGATCTGTTGCTCATCTTTTATTAGGGATATCATAGAAAGCCAGGCTGAATTTTACTGGTTATTCAAATAAAATTGCAATAAAAAACACTGACGTTAGCAGATATAACTTTTAAAAAAATGGAGAAAAGATCAATGGATGTGAATACCGTCTGCTGTTTTAGATTTTAACTAAGCTTAACTTTTTGACTCCTTCTCTATTCACCTCAAACTTTTGCACAAAACATCCACCTATTGACCATCTGCTGCTTTTCGCCTGTTTCCTTCCCCCAGCTGCTTCCATTTACACCCATCCTCATTAAAAACTCCAAGAACTGGAAGTCATAAAAAATAACACCTGTTTATTAGCATCCCCGTGTTTTACTGCTCTCCTCTCTATCCAGGACAGAGTGTCGGCTTTTTAATCTGGCTGAGTAAACAACAACGCTTCTTTATTATCTGCCCATAATCAGGCCTATCTGCCTCATAAAGACAAAGCTGAAATATCTACCTCTCTGATATTATATTACCTTGGCAGCCTTGCTTCGTAGCATCGGCCTGTTTTATGAAATACGGCTCGGTTTCATTGACTGTCTGGTTTGTCCTGTAAAATACAGTCAGTGAATCAAACAGCCGGATCACTGAGAGGAATCTTTTCCCTACGTTGTTTGTCATGGAGGACAGATTTCTGTTGGTCTCTTTAGTAAATGATGTTTTATCCTTCAGCCATTTCTACCTTTATTGTCTTTGCAAACAGAGGCTGATGTGCGTCTTTCATCAGCTGGTAACCAGAACTCCCAGTTTCATCAAATTAATTTAAATGAGTCATTTAAATGTAATTTTTGAGATTAGCAGAAAAACGATTAGCTTTTTTCAATCTTTGTAAATGTGGAATATTGTCTGTGACTTTGTTATCCAGGTATTAAAAATGTATTGTGACATGAAACACAGAAAGTGAAACATTTCATCTCTCCTCCTGTCTATCAGCTCTTCAGTCGTGGCTCGAGGAGGACATGCAGCGCGACCTTTCACCTCTTCCCTCTCCACGGAGGAGCTGACCCCGGACCACGCCTCCTTGTCCCTGGACTCGGTGGTGGACAGCGGCCGCGGCAGCTGGACTTCCTGTTCCTCCAACTCTCACGAATCCTTCCAAATCCTCCCCGCCTCGTCCTGCCGGCCCTGGGACCACGGCATCCACGGCCACCCGCTCTCCCTCCCCCACACGCACCTGAGCGGCTTCAAACTCCCGCTGCTGGGCCGGACGATGGCCGAGGCGGACGCCGCCGGGCCCTCGTGGGCCGGCGACGCCGCCGGCCGCCTCACCAGAGAGTCCAGCTCAGATCTGAGCGTTGCGGCGCGGGAGAGCCGGACGTCGTCGGGCTCCCTGTCGGATAACTACGAGGGGAATTACGGAACGATAAAGCGGCGAAACGCCTCGGAGCTTCCTTCCTCGCCAGCCAACGAGGAAGGAGGGCAAAGCGCAGACGCCTCGTACAAAACGGTGACGTCGAGCACAGAGAAGGGCCTGATAGGTGAGGGATCAGGATGAACGCAGCCGAGCAGCGCTCACGCTCACCTCCTCTCCTGCATGCGTGTCCGTCTGTCCAGGAGGAAAATCAAAACGAGCAGAAAAGATTTATTTATTTAAGAAAATTAAATATATGTATTAGCCAGTAGGCTGATTTGATTATTTTTTATTAAATCTACAAACACACCATCACCCGTTTCAGCTTAGGGATTTTTTTATGCACTGCTGTCATCCATCTTATTAGTTTTATGTTTTTCTATTAAAGGGCAGTATTATTTTTCTGAGTTTTTCATCATGTTAAAATGTTTTTAACTTCATCAAAAACAAACCTGGAGTGTTGCTTTGACTCTTTCATGAACGTTTGAGAAATCCTTTAGTCTCCATGACAACCAGTCAGCTGTTCAAAACGCCTGGGTGGACTTAGCCCCGCCTTCGAGGCAAAGCTCCTCCTCAGAGCTGCAGTTTCCAAACTCCTGGGCACTCAGCTCCTTCAGACTAGCCAGCAGCAATTAGCAAACGTTAACAGAGGAGCCGTGTTGTGACGACTTCCTGAAGGCGAGTCTCACAAAGACCAGGAGTTTTTAAAGAGACAGAGGCCTGATTTTAATTTCAGAAATATCATATTTGATACATGTAGCATTTTCATAACTACAGTTGGCACAGTTACTCGATTGCGCTGGGAAACATAATACTGCCCTTTAATTTCCCGTGTTTTGCATGTTGTGTTCATGAAGTTTATTTAATTTTTCCATTTTTTCCCCCTTTTGTTTTCTGTACATCACATCCTTCTTTTCCTCCATCCTCCCATTATTTCCACCTTCACATCCATCCAGTGTACTGTGTCACGTCCCCCACTAAGGATGAGCGTTACCGAGCTCCCCCTCCCACCCCTCCAGGCTACCAGGGTCTGGCTCTGGGCGACCTCGGGGTCGCAGACGGAGTAGGCGGCGGGCCGGGGTCTCCCGCCCCCCGACCTCCTCACCTCAGACCTCCAGACTACAGCGTGGCCCTGCAGAGGAGCAAGCTCCTGCAGAGCCCCGGTGCGGCCAGCGGGCTGGCCGAGGCGCGGAGGCTTCACCTCCGAACGGCCAGCCCCATTCAGGGCCAGTCCAGACCGCCCAGCCTCGTCCCCCCAGCGCAGGACCTGGCTGACAGCGAGGATGGTACGGCACAACCAGGACACCATCATCTATTATTCTTCCATTTTATTCAGTTGTGGAAGCAACAACTGAGAACCAGTTCACTTCTCTAAATGTAAAAATGAAATATATTAAAATGTCAGACGCTGTTACATTACTGTCTAATTCAATAAGTGATAATATTATTGATTTGAAACCATTTGCAAGTGATACATTAATAATTAATGCAGTTTTGTCAGGAACACTTCACACAATAAATAAAAATGAAATTAAAACCATACTCAACTGAAACTGTGAATAAAAGTGACACAAATCCTGTTATCACTGGAAATAAATTCAATTGAGCCCAAAAGAAACTGGAAATCAGACACTTTTCTTCTAATACAGCAGAATTTACTGCTGCGAATTTGGACCATTGTAGAGGAAAAAAGTAGTAAGAAAATTACAAGGAAATTTGCTAGAAAAAAATAAACATTTTAGACTAATATCAAACAATTTCTACAAAAAAATTCTGATTTTCAAATGAAAATGTTTCTAGAATATTTCTGAGAGAAACTTTCTGAGTTTTTGGTGGAAATTTACTCCTTTTTTCGACCGACAGTGGCGCCGTCACACAGTCGTAAAAATCCTTTCCAACATTAAAAATAAAAACAATACTTAAAATATGAAAAATGCAGAAAACACAAACATCAGACAATACGTCGTATCGGATAAACAGATATCGGCCCACTTTGCTTTTAGGTGGGTTTTCTTGGCCCACATGTCGAAACATTCATGTTTATCCAAACTAATTTAAGTATTCCTGTATTTTTCACTGCCTGCTGAATAGTTGATGGTTTTGTTTGTTTGTTTGCTTCTTTGTTTCAGAGTTGCACTAAAAAAAGTGAAATGTTGTCCCATCTCCTCTGTTCCAGATGAACAGGTGTCGGCGGTGTGAACTCATCAGCCGGGGGTCATCGTGTGACCTCTGACCTCTGGACTTTTATGGACCCGTTTCACAAATCAGAGATTTTAGAGACTTTTTTTAAAAAGAGAACCTGTGAACAAAGCTGGAAGAGGCGATCGCATCGCAGGAGACAGACTTTTAGAAGAACAGAGACGATATTTATGCCCCGCTGGAAAAGCGGACCGACGTACCTCCATTCGCTCTCCAGGCTCACTCATCTGCACGTTTTGTCGTCTTTGCTTTAACTTGACGTTTTGCTTTAATCGGCTGGATTTCTGAGCTTGCAAATGTGAACTCCTTGGTTTCATTCTTTTTAACTTGAATGTAAATTATGAAGATCCACAGCTCTCAAAACAGATGATGCTGAGAGTTTTAAGTGTTTTAAGATTTTTTTTTTTCTTTTGCGTTCCCTCACAATGAATTAGCAAAACCACTCTGGTCTGTTTTACAGTCACAAATGTCACAAATTTAAAATTGCACATTTAAAGAAAACGTGTTTATACCTTCTTAACTATTTGGTGCATAAATCTGATTGAAAATCGATTTATTAACTGCATGTTTACATTTGTTTGTATCTGAGATGTGGCTGCACATGGAAACAACCCTTTGTTAACATTTCAGACGACAAACACAAAAAAATCAATCAAACCTGTCAGGTGTCTTTAAAATAACTAAATAGTTTATATCTTAGAAGGAATGAAAAGAGAGCTTTTGTATTTTACTCGTCTGTTTGTGGAGCATTTCTATCCTAAAAAAAGATACAAACTTCAGATATTTCAAAAACGAGATGCTAACGAGCAGAAACCTTAAAACAGCAGAAAGACTTTCAGTATTCAGTTATGCTGACTAGTAAATTATTGAGGGAACGCAAAAGAAAAAAAAATCCAGTTTTCTAATCGTTAAAACCTAAAAAGCACTGATGAATATTTTCAAAAGGTGGAAAAAGAGAAAATCTCCAGGAATCCCTCGTGTCTGCGTAGCACGTCCCGTCCTGAAACTTTGCGTCACTTCGCCTCGTTGTGTCGCTGCTTCCTGCTCGTTCTGTAAAACCTGGATTAAACTCGGTTTTAATGAGCTGAAGAACAAATGCCTCGCTGCCTCCTGTAGACGTAAAAACCTTCGATTTACTGCAGGCGCTGTAAAAAAACAACACACACACACACACACACCAAAACCAACAGGACAGTGTTTACGTGGCGGCGTCTGTGTTTTGTTTGCAGTGTTTACTGGTTGTCTGCGAGTTACGAGCTGCAGAAGGTTCAGTTGTAAATTTGTTTATAATGCAGCATTATTTTTTGCTGACGCAGCATTTTTTTGTAGCTCTTCTCACTCAGACGAGGTGCAACAAAGACGGTCTGCCTGGCTTACATCTCCCAAAATACTTGTTTTGTAAAATATTTAAAGAAAACGCTTGAAGATCTGTTTTGAAAGCAGAAGATTTGTACAGAAATGATTTTTTTAGTTTTTAACTGGAATCTCTTTTTCTCCCTCCGTCTCTGTTCTGTTTGCTTCCTGTAATTTGTTTTTGCCACACAAAGACTTGAAATGATCACTGCTAATATATATAAGTATATATAGATACTCACAGCAGATATATAAATTTGTACATATATATTTTTGCTGTTCCTTTGCCATAATTTAATGTAAACTGAGTCTGTATAAATGTGCAGAGAGGATATTTTTGAATATTTTTGTTGAAAGCTAAAGGAATTAGTTTTGGTTCTTGACCTTTTTTTGACGTGTTCTCCCGTTTTGATGCTTCGTTTGCTGCAACTTTGGATCTTTGAGTGTAATTGCTGCTGAGTTTTGGGAGGATGTAGCAGAGTGTGTGTGTGTGTGTGTGTGTGTGTGTGTGTGTGTGTGTGTGTGTGTGTGTGTGTGTTGGGATCAGAACAGGTCTTCTTTTTTATTTCCTCGCTGCTCTCACGTTTCCAACACAACACTTGTGTAGTTGCAGTTCTGCTTTGAAGGCTCCTGCCTTCTTGAACGAGGAGAGTTCATGCAAACTCCCGACACTGACAGGAGCTTTTTGTTGAACTGAAGAGAAAAATCCTCGCTCTAATTCCACATTCAGCTAAACATAAAACTTTCTACCTGCCTGCTCTCTCTGCTTGCCTGGAAGCTTTTATTTTGGCCTTCACCTCTTGGTATTTTGTCTTTAATGTCACTTTGACGTTTTGCACAACTCCTTTACTTGTATTCTTAAACTGAAATCAGTGTTACAGAAATTACAGAATTTGTGCAAAGTTTTTCAGATTTCTGTTGAAAGACAGAAATAATTAAAACAGTCGCTGTTAAAGTATTGATAATATTCTAAAATAAAACAATAAATAAGTGAACTAGCTTTGCAAAAACATGTGAATCTTTACGTCTTGATTTCCAAAGAGCCGCCAAATTTTCCAAATCCAGCTTGTTGCACTACAGATAGGATTAAAGTTCAAACGAATAAATAAAGCAACTCTGATCTTCTTATACCTGCACTGCAAAAACACAAAATCTTACCAGGTATTTTACTCTTGTTTCTAGTACAAATATCGCAAAGGACTTGAAATAAGACAAAGCTAACTTACAAGTATCTTCAGCTTGTAAGTTAGTTTCAGCAAAATATAAGAGCTTGTTTTAAATCAAAAAATACTTAATATTGATTAAAATGTTCTAGTTGCATTAGCAGATAAATTCATTAATAACTGACATTTTTCCCATATCATAAGTGAAATAATATGGAGGAATAATTGACTCAAAATAATATATCTTGCTGAAAGGTTACTTTTGAGTTAGTTTTTTCTTAAGATATTTGCACTAAAAGAACTGACTAAAATTACTTGGTAAGATGTGTTTTTTTTTAATGGAAGCCCTGCTCTCTCTCGCTCTCCTGCAGCCAGGAGGATCTGCAGTGAGTTCCTTTTAAGAAGCTCCATGCTGATGCTGCCTTTAAGCTTCATTCATTCAGCAGTGGTCTACATTTTGAACAGCTTAAGCTTCTTCAAGTTTAAATCGATCAAACATTTTCTCTTTGTGTCTCTGGAGTTTTATTGAATCTTTGAGCTGAAAAATTAATTTCTTGATTTTTTTTACTTCAGTAAAATTGCAACAAAAAAAAACAAAAGAAAAGTTTTATATTTCTGTTTTCCCCCTTTTTTCATTTTAATCCACACATTCTTAGAACTCAAAAATGCTAATTAGTGTTTGTTTTATCAAAAGCCCCAGCTTTATTGTTTCCTCTCTAAAAAACACGATTGTGTTTCTTTGAAAATAAAATGAGAAAAACAACAATTCCCTCACTTCAGAATATAATTCAGCCCTTTGTCGTCCGTTTCTTTGTTTCCTGGAACGCAATAAGAGAGATGTGGATGTGTGTGTTTGTGTGTGTTTGTGTAAACGTCTCCTGGCATTACAGCAGAAATGCACAATAAGCTTAAATGTGGAGAGTGAGCTGCACAATCTTGTACAAAGAGGTATTAACTCGGTCTGTGGCTAAACGTTAGCTTTCCGTCTCACACCTATAGATGTTGTAACTTATGTCTTTTAGAAAGACAAACATGAATTTAGCTTGTACGCTTTTTATGTATTTTTTACAAGTGATTGTAAATAGTTGTTATATTTTTGTTTAAAAGAATGTTTAAAAAAGTCTACTGATATTAATTTGGACTATGAATAAAATGTTAAACTGACAGTTGGTGTCTTTATTTTTATTATTTATGTTTTGAAATCCATGAAGGTTTAGTTAAAAACAATCTTTAAAATTGTTTTTGCAGCTGAATTTGACCTCAGAAAGCAGAACTTTGGAGCTGAAAACTAAATCTAATCAGAAAAAAATGTTTAAAGATCTACAGTTCCTATAAAATTAATATTGCAACCATTTAATAAATCAGTTTTCACTTTTACATATTTTTAATCACTGATTTCTGTTTATTCAAACTGAATTTGATGTTTATTTGTTGATGTTTTTATCTCAACACCTGTAATAAACACGTGTCAAACTCAAGGCCCGGGGGCCAAAACTGGCCCGTCGCAGCTTTTTATGTGGCCCTCTAGACTCTAAAAGGATGCATAAGCAGAACTGTTAACTGTGTGCTTAAATGTTATTTTATCAATCAGATCAAATCAGTTATCTATTTCCTGTCAAATTACATAAATGAGTCCCTTCTGTTTCTTAAGAATTATTCACACAAAATCAACAAATCCCTGAACTTTTTCACTCTAATACATAACTGTGATTTTATTGCAGAACTTTGGTAAAAATGTTGAAAAACATTGGATCTAAATTACTGCTCACTGCTTCAGCCTTGGTCTGAAGTTATAATCCATATGGTGAGTAAAACGCCTAAATATTCCTAAATTAGTACCGCAAACACTTTGATTTTTATTGAAAAAAATCACAAAAACAATCGCAAAATCCTGGAGGGTCTGAAAAGATGATCAATATTATCTACTACATTCTGGCACAGCCGGCCCTTCAGAGCATTCGTGATGTTGATTTGGCCCAAAATGAAAAAGAGTTTGACATCTCTGCTTTATAAGGTAGAAAATCTCTTCTAATGCCACTTTTATTTCTTTTTGCCCATCTACTCATTGTTCAGCACTTTATCAGATCTGATCCAAACTGGAGAGCGCTCAAGGTCGGCCTGCTTTTTATTGTTCATTAAAGTTTTACTGTCAGTCGGGTTGATCGACCTTCCCGTGTCAGAGGAAGTCTCTGTGTTTGGATGCACACATAAGGGCTGACCAGCCACAAAAAGATCTGATTTTATTTCCAATCCAGACTGATTATGGTTTCCTTCTTGCCCCAGGTTTTTGGAGTGAATCTCTGAATCGATTCACCCGAGTTGAGGATCTCTGTAGCTCCCCCAGAGTTACCTTGGGCAGCTTAATGGTCTAGTTCAGACAGAAGTAACTGGTTGCACTTTATTTTATTGATGGGTATTAACCAGAAGGATACATACAAATGCAAACACTTGTAGATTTTTGAAAAGAAATAAATAAATTTCTTCAAGTTTATGTACTATTTTGTGTTTTTACCTAATATCACAAAAGTCACAGTAAAGTTGATATCTGTACAGTGAAAAATGTAGAAAGGTAAAATATACGAGTACATTTCAGAGACCAAACCTAATTTCTGCAAAAAAGAAAAAAATATTTATGGCTTAAAGTTGGTGGTATTAACATAAAATGAACCAGGATTTCCAGTTCAAAAGCCACCAATGCTCAAGATTCGCCTAAAGTTGAGTTTCTGCTGGTTTTGCACTCAAATTTAATCCCCATTTGGTTTGAAATTTATTCAAAATACAGTATTATTCAAGATATAGATCAGGACAAAAAAATCTGGATTGTGTCTCATACTTAGGATGTAAAACATGGGATAAGTCAGCAAATCATTCTTATTAAGAAAGAATACTTACCTAAATCAAAATGAGGTTTAAATATTTTCCTTTTGGTTTGAATTGACTGTTGAGTGGAAGTGGGGAGGAAAGGTTTCACTAATTATCTTGTTGATGGGCTGAAGACAGTTAAAGCTCAGATCCAGGTGGGATTTCTCTAGAACAAAATGAAAAACCTCACAGCTGGAAGTATGTCACAAAGGGTGAAGGAGCCCCACTGCATGGCAGGAGACGAAACTCGGGGGGGGAAAAAAGGAAATAGGACTCCAAGGTGTTGTAATGTGTGCGACCTGCATTCACTTCGGTGTGCGCGCGCGTCTCACCTTTCCGCTGTTTGACTTTGAAGTTGTGACTTTGTCGGGAGCAGAAGCCGAGAGGTGGGAAAACGGAAACCTGGCTCCTGAGGTGCGTGCTCACACACGGGGGCTGGCTTTTAGCATATTCCTGTCTAAATCAAAATTTGTGAAGCAAAACAGCTTGGAAAGATATTCCGTCACCTGTAACGTCTCAGCATATCTGCCCTTGGGTTTATGTGCATTTGCTGCCATGTATGTAAGAATCTAAAAGCAAGATGGTTCATTAAACTGTCATGTCTTATTTTAAATTTAGTATTTCTCTCTCTGTCATGTGAATACTAATTAATATGTTACGGCCC